AAAAAAAAAAAAAAAAAAAAAAAAAAAGTAAAAGGTAGCCCAGGTGCAGTGGCTTAAGCCTGTAATCCCAGCACTTTGGGAGGCAGAGGCAGATGGATCACCTGAGGTCAGGACTTTGAGACCAGCCTGGCCAACATGGTGAAACCCCTTCTCTACATACAAAAATTAGGTGGGCGTGGTGACAGGTGTCTGTAATTCCAGCTACTCAGGAGGCTGAGGCAGGAGAATCACTTGAACCCAGGAGGCAGAGGTTGGAGTGAGCCAAAATCACGCCATTGCACCCCAGCCTGGACAACAAGAGCAAGACTTCATCTTTAAAAACAGTAGGCCGGGCACGGTGGCTCATACCTATAATCACAGCACTTTGGGAGGCCAAGGTGGGTGGATCACGAGGTCAGGAGATCCAGACCATCCTGGCTAACACAGTGAAACCCTGTCTCTACTAAAAATACAAAAAATTAGCCAGGCGCGGTGGTAGATGTCTGTAGTCCCAGCTACTCAGGAGGCCCGGCCCATCCTGACTGCCCTTTCAAACCCAGCTTCACAGCACAAGTACATGCTCATTTTATTTTTTATGTTTTAATTTATTTTCATTGAGGTGCAATATACATATCTAATTTACTATCTACAGTTTATAAGTGCATGGTTATTTTAAGACTCCATATAACACAAAAGGACATACAATTAAAAAAAAAAACTATACATTCCTTTTTTTCATCTTCTACCCTGAAGGAACTCTCCAAAATTACTTTTCCTCCCCAACATCCGATAGTGTCCACAAGGAGCCCACACCATGTCTTCCTACAGGTCCATTGGACCGTTCCTCAGTACACTGAATAGTTTCGAGGAAGCTCACAGGTTTGTATCTTGTTTCCCTATGGGCTCCCACACAATGCAGTCCTCAAGTTTCCCGTCCTGTGCTAAATAGTAAAAATCACCACAGAACCAATGTGCAACGCTGAGGAAATCACAAACGTTAAGTGGCATATATTTTGTCATAAATCTATGACCCCTGGGCCCATCCTTTAGATGGTGGATAAGAATCCTTGCAAAGCCCCAACCGGACATGTGGTGCTCATCTTAGATGTTTATTTCCTTTGGACCCCCAATAGCGTCTCAATCTCATTCATTTGTTTTACCAATTACTTTTTCATTTTGTATCTAAAATTGCTCCTTTTACTTTTTTCACTTACGAATCTGTAAAAACACACCATCATCTCATCCTGAATTATTTCCTCTGAAACATTAGTAGTCTGCCCGTCTCTGGTGTTGCCTCAGTTTACTTTGCAATCCATCCTCCATTCTGCACCTGAAGAGCTCATAAATACCAGCTAAGGATAATTCAGTGACTCCACGTGGCCTTGGTGATCATGTGCACACTTCTCAGGATCTGTTCTCTTCGTGATCTGTTTCCGTGACACCTTTCTCTCATCTGGAGACATCTAGAATCACTTCCCCTTATCCTGTCCCCACTGAGATCTGCCATACCCAAGCCAAACACAAGTCATATTAATTAGTTAAATGAGCAGCTGTTTTGTACCTATTCTTGGCAAATGCTATTACCAACACCTGGCATATTCTATCATCATTCCTCCTTATAGCTCACCTCCATTAATACTAAAGATATCATATTAGATCTCTTATTAGGCCTCTAAGGTCAGACATCTGTGACCTAAAGCTTTCCCTTCACAAACCCTGTCTAGGGAGAAAACTCCATAGGTGTCCCCATGACAGACTTTAATTCTCCTCACACACCAGATTATGGTGAGTGGCAGAAACAGGAGGGGACGGAGCTCTAGAGGCAGCACTGAGAAAGTTGGCCTTTGGAAAACCATAGAAGGAAGTTGTGTTGTGGCATTGCTGTTCCTGTGCTAGAAATGACAGCAAGGGGCCAATGCACACTGTAATGGTGCACAGTCCCCTTAACTGATCTCTACATGGAATTGAAAGATTGTTAGCAAAAAAAAGATGAATAAGCGAACCATCTTTTAGCTACTCCAGGCATCCTTCTTTTTATCAGTTTCTCTATGAAGTGAAATCAGAGGTGAAGTAAACATATCTAGACTCTCTGTTCTTTATGATATTTACTATTAACAATCTGTGTAATGTTTATCATTAAACAGATCCTAAAATACTTTAGAATTGGGCTGCATGTCAATATTAGTTGAATGAGTAATTCTAAACAGTCTTCACTGAATTTGTGGAGCGTTGTTAGTACTCCCAACTTTAAAAAGGTCCTTTAGTTAAGAGCTCCTTCGAACGTCCAATAGTGTCCACAAGGAGCCCACACCATGTCTTCTGAGAGGTCCACTGGACGATTCCTCAGTGCAGTGAATAGGCTGGAGGAGCTCACAGGTTTGTATCTCATTTCCCCATGAGCCCCCACACAATGCCGTCCTCAAGGTTCCCGTCCTGTGCGAAACAGTAAAAATAGCACAGTCGCCAGGCTTCAGCCCAGAAGCGGTGAGGGAGGCCGTGTTGTTTGACTTGTACCTGGGGAAGAGGAGAGGCTTGGTAGTAAAGGTATGAGAAGATAACTCATAGAGATACAGAGGGAGAGATTTGGTATTTTTGGAGAGAAAATTGGGGAAGTCATGAGTGGACGAGTCCACCTCCAGCATTCAGGCAGGAAATTGGAGAGAGCTGATGGGAACAGGCTGAGAGCTGAGCCGGGGTGGGGTCACTCTGGGGAGTTTCTGTATCACTTCCCCATGGATCTGGAGAACTGTGTGATTACCGCTGCGATCACAAGAATGATAGGAGTAGTTGACCTCATCCTCAGACTGCAGCCCAGAGATGGTCAGGGAGGCAGAGTTGGATGGAGCTGCTGGAGCCAGAGAACCAATGCATAACATGGAAGGGTCTTTTGTTATCATTGTAGATTATGGTGGTGGGGGCACTGCCCAGGCGCTGATGGCACCAATGCACCAATGCATATTTGCTCTCGATGCTACCACTGCTCCAGGTGCCAAAGATAGTGTTCTTTTGTCCCAGAGACCCTGACACAGAGTGGGACTGAGTGAACACATCCTCCTACCAAGACCCTGCAAGAAGGGAACAATACAGAGAACAGTGAGGACAGATCAGGTCTGCTGAGAGGAGGGAGAGGTCATCATCGCAGGGGACATCCAGGAGCCTCCTTTGAATTCTCTGCAGGCAGCCACCTGTGCAATGAGTGAGGAAAGTGAGGATGCGTGGAGCCCAGGCCACAGTGGAGATGCCCCAGGCTCTGCTGCCCGAGCCTATAGCCAGGACTGAGCTCACCATCACCTCTGATCCATCACACTGATCCTCAGGGTGGGACGACTCCATGCAAATCTTCCCCATTTCTGGAGGCTGTGCAACCCCCTCCTTTGACCTCAGTCTGAACTACAGCTGAGAGAAAGAAAAACTAGAGAAGAAGAAAGACTTTCGCCCCAGAGAGGGCACAGAAACACCTTCATGACGCAAGAAAACGGGGACTCTCAGCTAAGGAGCCCTAAGCAGGTGCTTAGTCCACAGCACCCTCTGGTAAATGTGGGAGTCATGTGGACTCCAGGCAGGTACTGGTTCCCAAGGATCCTGCCCTCCCCACCACCACCACCATCAAAACTTCCATCTACTCAGATCGGCTTCTGTCATTTAGCAATATGCATGTAACCTTTCCGCATATTATTTTGTGCCCCGGTACCTCCTTCTTACTGTAGAATAATACTTCATTTTATGGGTTACCAAGGCTTGTGGATCCATTTGCTTATTGAAGGACACATTGGTTGTTTTCAAGCTTTGACAATCATGATTAGAGTAGCTATAAGCATTTGGGTACAGGGTCTTGTGTGGTACATGTAACTCATTTAGTTAAATAGCTAGAAATACATTCAGTCCAGCTAGGCTTCTAAATTGTAGGCTAAGAGTGTGTTCAGCTGTTTTAGCACCTGCCAACATGAGATCACCAATATTCTCCTGTGTCGGAGAGATATGTCCTCACTCTGGAACATGCTAAGGCAAGGAGGGAGGTGATAGACAGTTTTGTTAGAATAGTCTCTTTACAGCCGGGCGCAGTGGCTCATGCCTGTGATCCCAGCACTTTGGGAGGCCGAGGCGGGCGGATCACGAGGTCAGGAGATCAAGACTGAACACTGTGAAACCCCGTCGCTACAGAGAAAAAAAAAAAAATAGCTAGGCGTGGTGGCACATGCCTGTAGTCCCAGCTACCAGGGAGGCTGAGGCAGGAGAATCACTTCAACTGGGGAGAGGGAGGTTGCAGTGAGCCCAGATCGCGCCACTGCGCTGCAGCCTGGGCGACGGAGTGAGACTCCTTCTCAAAAAAAAAAAAAAAAGGTTATCTGAGCTGGGCACGTTGGCTCACGCCTGTAATCCCAGCACTTCGGGAGGCCGAGGTGGGCAGATCACCTGAGGTCAGGTGTTCAAGACCAGCCTGACCAACATGGAGAAACCCCACATCTACTAAAAATACAAAATTAGCCAGACGTGGTGGCACATGCCTGTAATCCCGGCTACTTGGAATGCTGAGGCAGAAGAATCACTGGAACCCAGGAGGTGGAGGTTGCAGTGAACCAAGATCATGCCACTGCATTCCAGCCTGGGTGACAGCGAGACTCCATCTCAAAAACAAAAAGGATTATCTGTGCATTTACTCAGGTCTTCTTTAAGACCTGCATCTAAGCAATATTTTATGACTTCTAGTGTGTAAAACAACAATTTTTGTCATACTGATCCTAAAGTAGTTCATGTTTTATGCTATTTTCAATGTATTGACTTTTCAATTACTGATGGTTCATTACTGATATGGAGAATACAATTCCCTTCTGCATCCCTGTATTGTATCCCAAGGCTCATATTAAAACTCTCAGACCAGCAGCATCTCTGAGTCACTTCTAGACTCTGAGCTGAGATGAACCCCAGCCCACCCCTCTTGCCTTCTTCTATGTCAACACTGAGAGATTTTACCCCTGAGCAAGGGAATTCTGCCTGTGAAATGTGAGCAAGGTAGGACTTCGTTAGACCTGCTTGTCAGTGGCAGCTCCAGTGCTGTTGGTGTGACAACAGATGTCACCCCCTGAGTTAGATTTGGTCAGAGTCACCAGCAGGGGTGACTTCACCAGGCCAGGAGAGTAGAGGGGAGGTTTTTGTCTGACTTCCTCATGGGTCTGGAGCACTGTGTGAGTCTTAGAGTTGCCATGCCATGTACAACAGTAATAGTCAGCCTCATCCTCAGGCTGGAGCCCAGAGATATGCAGAATCCCTGCATTGGCTGATGCATCGTTGGATCCAGAGAAGCGGCTGGGAACTCCAGAGCCTTGGCCCTTATCTGAGTCTGAGTGGTAGTACAGGAGATACCGGGGAGGGCTCCCTGGCTTTTGTTGGTACCACCGTATCCAGAAGTCACCAACACTGAAGCCACTGCTCAGCGTGCAGGTGAGTCTGGCTGACGCTCCAGGAGATGCGGAATGGGAAGATGGCTGAGTCAGCACAGGCTGGGAGAGGGAACCTGAAAACACAGACATCATGGGTAACAAGGCAGTTCCCAGGGTAAAGTTTCTCGTAGGTCTGAGCCACAGGGGATGGTGTAGCCTGGACACTGAGCCTCGGTTTATAAGGACTTTCCCTACCTGTGCAGTGAGAGAGGAACGTGAGAAGGAGAAGAGTCCAGGCCATGGTGGACAGAGCCCCTGAGCCCTACCAGTGGGCCTGGGCTGCCCCAGGTCTCCTTTTCTTCTCCACCCTCTGCCAGAGGAGGGGCTGCTCATGCAAATGTGTTTCCTTCCACACTGCCCAGCCCCTCCCTGAGCCCTGGGGCTGGAGCTCAACTCACACTGCAGCCTGAGGAGGAGGAAGGTTTGGTTCCCCCTTGGGAGGGCCCTGGGAGGAAGCACCTGCTGAGACTGTACACAGGTCTCTGCTTAGGGGACTCTGCCAGGCCAGAGAGGACACAACTCCTGAGTCCCCATCATTGAGCACAGGGCACAGGATCCTTGGAGTGAATGGTTCTTACTAAGCAGCTGTGTAGGGACCATAGGGCAGTCCTGTGACATCCCCTGCCGGTTGCAAGGCACACACCTCCCGATATAGTGTGGATGTGCGTCCTCTAAATCTCCTGTTGAAACGTAATCCCCAGTGTTGGATGAGGCAGCTGGTGGGAGGTGGTTGAGTCATCAGAGAGGATTCTGCGAGGCTTGGTGCTGTCCTCATGACAGTGAGTGAGTTCTCGCAAGAGCTGATTGTCTAGATGTGTGGAACCTCCCCGCTTACTCTGTTTCTTGCTCCCACTCTGCCATGAGAGATGTCTGCTCCCACTTCATGTTCCACCAAGTAAAATTCCCTTGAGGTATCCTCAGAAGCCAAGCAAATGCAGGCACCATGACTCTTGTACAGCCTGCAGAACCATAAGCCAATTCAACCTCTTCTATTTGTAAATTTCCCAACCTCGAGTATTTATTTGTAGCAATGCAAGAATGTCCAAACACAGATCACTGGTGCTGAGAAATAAAGTATTTTGCTAAAAGATACCTGATAGTACAAAAGCATCTGTGGAACTCAGTCATGGGTAGAGGTTGGAAGGGTTTGGGGGGCTCAGGAGAAGACAGTGTGAAAGGAAAATAGATCTTGGGACCCCACCCAAGCTGGGAACTGCTTAGAGCAAACCTGCCTCCCATTCTATTAAAAGTCTCCCCTCTGCTCACTGAGATAAATGCATATCTGATTGCCTCCTTTGGAGAGGCTCATCAGAAACTCAAAATAATGCGACCATGTGTCTCTCATCTATCTAAGACTGGAAGCCCCTTCCCCGCTTCAAGTTGTCCTGCCTTCACCTGGAGCTGCCCCACCTTTCCAGACTGAACTGACGTACATCTTACACATGATGATCGATGTCTCATGTCTCCCTAAAATGTATAAAACCAAGCTGTACCCCGACCACCTTGGACACACGTCATCAGGATCTCCTGAGGCTGTGTCACAGATGTGCGTCCTCAACCTTGGCAAAATAAGCTTTCTAAGTTAACTGAGACCTGTGTCAGATTTTGGGGGTTCACAACAGGAAGATTAGAAAATGCTTCGAACTTTATAGAGACTGGCTCAATGGTTGTGATCAAAATGCTGATGGTGTTATGAACAATGAAGTATAGGCTGTCAATGTCTCAGATGGAAAGTGAGTAACTTCTTGGGAACTGGGACAAATATCTCCCATGTTATGCCTTAGGAAAGAGTTTGGCTGAATTCTATTCCTGTTCTCAGGCTGGACACTGAGCCTCGATTTATAAAGACTTTCCCTACCTGTGCAGTGGAAGGAACTTCTGTGGAGGTTGGAACTTCAGAACCATCATTTAGAGTTAAAAAAAAAAAAAAAAAAAGCTAAATAAAAATTTAAAAAATTAAATAAAAACTTAAAAAACTAAATAAAAATTTTATATAGTTTGCTTTTGTTTTGATTTGTTTTGTTTTCACAAGTACATTATTTAACTTGGAAGTCAAATCTTATTAAAAGGATATGTGAATTTTTTTATAATTATACTTTAAGTTCTATGGTACATGCACACAATATGCAGATTTGATACATATGTATACATGTGCCATGTTGGTTTGCTGCACCCATCAACTCGTCATTTACATTAGGTATTTCTCCTAATGCTATCCCTCCCCGAGTCCCCCACCCCGTGACAGGCCCTGGTGTGTGATGTTCCCCACACTGTGTCCAAGTGTTCTCATTGTTCGATTCCCACCTATGAGTGAGAACGTGCGGTGTTTGGTTTTCTGTCCTTGTGATAGTTTGCTGAGAATGATGGTTTCCAGCTTCATCCACATCCCTGCAAAGGACATGAACTCCTCCTTTTTTGTGGCTGCATAGTATTCCATGGTGTATATGTGCCATATTTTCTTTTTTTATTTTATTTTATTTTATTTTTATTATTATACTTTAAGTTCTAGGGTACATGTGCACAACGTGCAGGTTTGTTACATATGTATACTTGTGCCATGTTGGTGTGCTGCACCCATCAACTCGTCAGCACCCATCAACTCGTCATTTACATCAGGTATAACTCCCAATGCAATCCCTCCCGCCTCCCCGCTCCCCATAATAGGCCCCTGTGTGTGATGTTCCCCTTCCCGAGTCCAAGTGATCTCACTGTTCAGTTCCCACCTATGAGTGAGAACATGCAGTGTTTGGTTTTCTGTTCTTGCAATAGTTTGCTGAGAATGATGGTTTCCAGCTGCATCTATGTCCCTACAAAGGACACAAACTCATCCTTTTTTATGGCTGCATAGTATTCCATGGTGTATATGTGCCACATTTTCTTAATCCAGTCTGTCACTGATGGACATTTGGGTTGGTTCCAAGTCTTTGCTATTGTGAATAGTGCTGCAATAAACATACGTGTGCATGTGTCTTTATAGTGCTTGATTTATAGTCTAAACGGGTATGTGAATTTAATTAACTATAAGAAGAGTATGCCCAGGGTTACAAATGCATATTATATTTTAGGGGAATGTAAGAAAATTCATGTTTTATTATTGGGAATATATAGTTCTTATCAGAAGTATTTTGCTATAGTGAATGATCTAGAAATATTTAAATTAAGTTAAAAATACACATTTTTAGATATTTAAGACAAATACTTTAGCATTAGGCCATAAGAGTAGACTTGAAATTGAAGAAAGAATGTACCAGAGTTGTCAAATGTTTAAAGGAAAGATATATTATCTCACGGAAGTGAAAAACTTACGTTTTTTTAGGCTGGGCACAGTGGCACACACCTGTAATCCCAGCACTTTGGAAGGCCAAGATGGGTGGATCACTTGAGGTCAGGAGTTCCGGACCAACCTGACCAATATGGTGAGGTCCCATCTCTACTTAAAATACAAAAATTAACCAGGCACGGTGGCACACGCTTGTAATCCCAGCTACTCAGGAGAGTAGGCACTGAGGCACAAGAATCACTTGAACCTGGGAGGTGGAGGTTGCAGTGAACCGAGATCGCCACACTGCACTCCCCTCTGCGTGACAGAGTGAGACTCCATCTCAAAAAAGAAGGAAGGAAGGAAGGAAGGAAGGAAGGAAGGAAGGAAGGAAGGAAGGAAGGAAAGAAAGGAAGGAAGGAAGAGAAGGAAGGAAGGAAGGAAGGAAGGAAAGGAAGAAGAAGGAGGGAGGAAGGGAGGGAGGGAAGGGAAGGAGGAAGGAAGGAAGGAAGGAAGGAAGGAAGGAAGGAAGGAAGGAAGGGAAGGAGGGAGGAAGGGAGGGAGGGAAGGAAGGAGGGAGGGAGGGAGGGAGGGAGGGAGGGAGGGAGGAAGGACTTATATCTTTCTAAAAGGTAGCAGAATCGAAATTTTTAAATTATGTGTAGCAAGGTATAACAAAATTTGAAATTTTGAGATATAAATTTGAGAGTTTTAAGGAGAAATAGATGATAGGATTAAAAATCAATTTTTAAAAATTTTATTCAGAGTAAATTAATATTTTAAGAAAATTTTGTTTTGACATGCGAAATTAAAATTTTTAGTTTTGTATTAGTGTATTGGCAATATTAAAATTTAATATTTAGGAAGACTGTGATAAATATATTCTTTATAGTAAAATTTATTATATGTAATTTTATTTAAAAATTTTATAATTTATCTTATAATTTACATAGTGTTTAAGTCATGTTTTGACATTTTGTCTTTTTTTAATGCTCAATCATTTTATTTCAGGACAAAAATCATAACACAAGATTTTCAATATAAAATTGTATTTTTTTACAAATATATATTTATAATTTATGATATGTCTCTGATTATGTATTGTTTTATAAATAACTCAACCTCTAAACTTGGCAAAATTATTTTTAATAATGTGTTTGCTTTATGCCTCTCACAATTTTTAAAATTAAAAACATATTTTTGTAGTCTATATATATCAGATGTTTACCTAAGAAACTTGATGTAAAAAACATGGGAATTTTGTCTATAACATAGAAGATAAAGCCATTGTATTAAACTAACAATATCAAATTAGTTTTATTTATTTAAAAATTATGTAAATAAATATTTTGTTTTGAACTGGGTTTGTAGTTTACAATATTGTGCCAAATCCTCACACCTTAGTCTGTTTAGCAGAGACAATTATAAAGTGACCTGACCAGTAAACCCAGGGGAAAATGTATGTTGATAATTTTGAAAATTTTTAAATTTTATTAATAATTAGTTAATTATATGTGTTGCACAACCCATATCTAGAACATATTCCTGGTTCACCACCAAATCCCCATTTTCTCCTCCCCACATTCCCTGGCAGCCACCATTCTGCTCTGTGTCTCTGGAATTTGTATATTTGAGGACCTTATGATTTCAAACTGAAAACTCAGTAAGAGCCAACACCACATTAAATATAAAATTGCCATAAAGTAGAAGGGTGGCCTTAGACACTCTCATTATTTATAGTTTCTTGGGAAGTCTTTTGAGAGGATGACATTCCTTGGAAATTTTGGGGCTTTGAAGACTGGAAGTGGAGCTCACCAAGACAAATAGAAGGAGAAGCATTTTA